GGCCAACGCGCTTCGCAGCATTGCGAGCGCGGAGCGCCGCGGCAAGCGTCAGGTTCTCATTCGCCCATCGTCCAAGGTCGTCGTGAAGTTTCTGCAGGTGATGCAGAAGCACGGCTACATCGGCGAGTTTGAGATCATCGACGACCATCGTGCGGGTAAAATTGTGGTGAATCTCAACGGCCGCCTCAACAAGTGCGGTGCCATCTGCCCTCGCTTCGACTGCACCGTCCCCGACTTTGAAAAGTGGGTGAAGAACATCCTCCCCAGCCGTCAGTTCGGCTTTGTGGTGCTCACGACGTCGCTTGGCATAATGGACCACGAGGAGGCGCGTGCCCGCAACACTGGTGGAAAGGTCCTTGGCTTCTTCTACTAAACTCCGTGTTCCTTGCCCTGTTAATTTTCTTTTCCTTTTTTTTGTTTTCCTTGTTTCTGCCTGTGTGTCGCAGCAACAGATCCCATTTCTGCCCAAACGACCTGGGGAGGCTGCCCTGTCGCCGTGCATCAGTACCCGCCCTCAGTGCGTCTGCTTGTGTGCGCAAGGCGTCTAAATTACTCCATGTGGCTCTTGTCCCCGCAACTTCTTCTTCTTTCTCTCTCTCTCTTTGTTTTTTTTTATACGTCTCCGTTTTGTTCTGCGTTGTTGGTGCTGTCTCGGTGGTGGCGAGAGGGACCGCAGCGCCGCACGCGGCGTAGGTGTACGCAAATATAAGATACACATAACCCGTCCCCCGTGGGCCGCACCACCCCGCTTTGATGACAGGCGGCGGAGTGGCGCCCCACACCGGCGGCAAGGAGGTGCCAGCGGGCGGCAGTGTAGGGCTTGACATGCGATGGGTGTTAAATCCCAACGTTACATACGCGGCGGGCGTGTGCGTTGCCGTCGCCTGCATCGTGTCATTCATTGACTTGCGTGATCACGTGGCCCGATTTGACTATCCTCAGCTGCAGGTCCTGGTGCTTCGCATCATTGCAATGGTTCCTATCTATGGTATTTTCTCCTTGTTGTCAGTGGTGTTGCTGGATATGCGCTTCTTCCTTGAGACAATTCGTGACACATACGAGAGCTTTGTGCTCTACATGTTCTTTATTTTATTGCTGAAGTACTGCGGCGGGGAGGGTCAACTGCTGCGGTCGCTAAAGGCAAAGCGCTACAAGGGGGTTCACTTATTCCCGATCTGTTGTTTGCCCATGTACCCGCTAGACACGGCCTTTTACCTCCGCTGCAAGCGTTGGGTGTTGCAGTGCGCTCTCATCAAGCCGTTGTGCTCCTTCCTTGCGATGCTGCTGAATCCACTTGGGCTTTACAACGAGGGCGCCTTTACCCTTGACAACGCCTACACGTACATTTCCATTGTCATCAACATTAGTCTCACGATGTCGCTCTACTACCTGGTACTCTTTGAGGTGGAGCTGGAAAAGGAGTTGCACTACGCCAAGCCGTTTCTCAAGTTTCTCTGCATCAAGACAATCATCTTCTTTAGCTTCTGGCAGAGCGTTATGGTTAATATTTTGCTGAAAATGAAGCTGCTCTACACGGGGGACACCGAACATGAGCGGGAGACTGTCGGTGCAGCCATTCAGGACTTGCTCATGTGCTTTGAAACACTGCCTGTAGCTTTGATGCATCGCGCCGCCTTTGGTCGCAGGAAACTCGATGAGGAGATGGCTGCAGTTCCCATCTACATGAAGGAGGGGAATAATCGCAACATTAGAAGCAACATCGACACCGCCCTCAATATTAATGATGTGATTGAAGACACCATTGCCACAATCTTCTATCGGCGGGGGAAGCTTGTTGACCAGGAGAACGTAGAGGACGACAACACCGAGGAGGATGAAACGGCGAACGCCTCCAAAAGGCGAGGTGGGGCTGTAGCAGCGGAGGACGGGTTTGACGAGGCGGTGGTGGCATACGGACGCGATCCAACGCTGGAGGAGATTGTGCACCACGCCATTGCCTCCGACTACGGTGTACGGGCAGACGGCTTACTGCACTACGATGAGGACAGTGACAGGGATGAGCGGAATCGTGACATGAACTTTACCGACACTGATGTCATTATGCGGCGCACGCGGCACGAGGAGGCCAGCGAGGCTGTGAAGGTGGACACCGATGTTTTGCAGAGCCACCAGGTGCAATTGCAAACAAATACTCCGCAGATTTATTGTGTCGTGTGTGGACGCTTTGATCGCGAGATGGTCCGTCGTAAGAATGGCTACAAGTGCAAGGAATGTATTGGGGTGAAGAGTAAGGTGCTGCTACGCACCTACCAACAGGGAGTGCTGGAGCAGGCGACGGGCAGCTCTCACGGGGCCGAGCCAGCAGCCTGACAACAAAGGTGGTATTTCTTCCACTTTCCCATTCCCTCCCTTTGCTTATGTTCTTCTTATCGAGGCGCCGCGTTTGTTGTTGTTGATTTTTTGGTTTTGCGTGTCTCTTGCGGCCTCCCTGAGGCCGCTTAACAGCGACGTTGATGCCACGGTTGTGTTGTGCTCTGGTAGAAGTGATGCGAGTGGGACTGGCGAAGGAAAGTGCCATGCTTGCGCGGATGTTGCGTAAATGCATCTGCCCGTGCAGGGCTCGATGGACGCCCCCGCGGTGTGCGCATGGAAGGGCTCAAGCGGATCTTTTCGTGGGTTCTCCCCACGATTCCTCCTTTGATTATTTTTTTCTCATTGATGTTTTTTTTTCGTTGTTGCCTGGGCAGAACGGAGTGGCTCACTGGAGGCGGAGCTACCCAAGTTGTAGGTAATACGCCGATCACTAAGAAGATCAAGAGGGCGAGGGAGCCACACACAAAAAAAAAACAACAACAACAGGAAGCAACACACTTGCAGGCGCGCGAAAGTAAAGAAGAGAAGCAGCGATGCCGAAGGAAGTCGGCTCAAGCGAGGTAGACTTCACCAAGTATTGCGTTCTGCAAAGTAATGATCAGCCGCCGGAAGAGTTGAAGGTCCTTCGGGAAGCGGCGATGATGTCTGGTCTGCTGAAGGACATGCTTGACGATCAGGGCGATATGGAGCCGATCATTCCTATCCCAAACGTGTCTGGACGCACGCTGCGGCTGGTGATTGAGTACATGGAGCACCACTACCAGAACCGCGCCGAACCCATTGAGAAACCGCTCAAGTCCAAGATCGACACCATCATTTCCCCGTGGGACCACGACTTTCTTTTCACGCACCTTGTCAAGGACCATGACGAGAAGCAGCACGAGGTGCTCATTGACGTCATTATGGCGGCAAACTTCCTGAACGTGAAGGACCTGCTAGACCTTACATGTGCCTGCGTCGCCAGCATGATACGCGGGAAGACGGCGGAGCAGATTCGCGCCCTATTCAACATTGAGAGTGATTTCACCCCTGAGGAGGAAGAGAAGATCCGTGAGGAAAACAGGTGGTGTGAGGAGGCGTAGTAGGGAAATATATATATATATATAGATACTAGTAATAGAAAGT